TTCTAGGCAGAAGCCGGGCTGTGTACATTGTAGTACAGGATAGACCAAACAGCAACACATCCGTGAGACATAAAAAGACGATTATACAGGACACACCTGTGACCAAAAATCACCAGGCACATAAGAAGAGCAATACCATAGAATGAAAATGAGGTGAATAAAAAGTAATTGCATAGCTGAGAAATTTAAAAATACAACCACTGGAATAAAGCCAGCCCCCTCCCAAGTGTTAAAGAATAGGCCTAGCTACAAAGCAACAGTCTTAACAGATATATTAGGGAATGTAATATGTAATATGCTCTAGATTAGTGACAAAATTCTGGGGATGAAACTGTGAACTAAATGAATCAAAAGTGCCAATTTTTAATATTTGCAGTTGAAGAAACTATGGCATATATAAAGTGTCTAGATACTATGAAAGAAGAGTAGTAAAAAAAAAAAAATGGGGTCTCTTGGAAATTCAAATGATTACAAAGCAAAGTTGAAAAAGTCTACCAGAAAATGAGAGTGATGGGGCAGAGTGGAATGGAAACATGAGTGAAAGTGTGAGACATAGAAGATCATAATTCCATGAAATTCCATAATTGAATGGCAAGAAACAAAACCAGAAAATGTGCCAAAGCTCAAAGCCACAGCCATTACAAGGAAGTGTCTACTGAATATCCCAAATTATGCTATCATTGGCTACATCTACAATGTGTGATACATGTAAACAGCAGAATGTTGGGCTTGTGACCACTGCTTAAGGACTTTACTATCATAATAACGTGGAGACTGGGGGGCCGGGGGGTTTGGACAATGACTCAATTGGCTAATCCTCCAATTTCAAGTGCCGGGGATCACATTTGGCCACCGTTTTGTGTCCCCGCTGCTCTGCTTCCCTTCCAGTTCCCTGCCTATGGCCTGGGAAAACTTAGAGGATGGCCCAAAGCCTTGGAACCCTGCATCCATGTGGGAAACCTGGAAGAAGCTCCTGGCTCCTGGCTATGGATGGACTCAGCTCTGACCATTGCAGCTACTTTGGAAGTGAAGCAGCAGATGAAAGTTTTTCCTTTCTGTTTCACCTTCTCTCTAAATCTGCCTTTCAAATAACAAGCAAATAAATAAGCAAGCCTCAGAACTCACATCTGGGTTTCACAGACCAAAAAAATGCTGAAGGCTTTGAAAAAAAAAATACGAAGGGAAATGGTGAGTGGATGATTGGAATGAAAGGAAGGGGAGAAAGACAAGAGAATTCCTGTACTTCCAAAACTCTGCCATGAAAAATATTTTTTTAAGATTGTTATATGTTGTTCTTGAAAGTCAGATTTGGGCCTGATGCGGTGGCCTAGTGGCTAAAGTCCTCACCTTGAATGCGGGGATCCCATACGGTCACTGGTTCTAATCCTGGCAACTCCCCTTCCCATCCAGCTCCCTGCTTGTGGCCTCGGAAAGTAGTCGAGGACGGCCCAAAGCCTTGGGACTCTGAACCTGTGTGGGAGACCCAAAAGAAGTTCCTGGCTCCTGGCTTCGGATCTACTCAGCTCTAGCCATTGCAGTCACTTGGGGAATGAATGAATGCACAGAAGATCTTCCTCTCTGTCTTTCTTCCTCTCTGTATATCTGACTTTCCAATAATAAAATAAAATGAATCTTAAAAAAATGAATATATCAAAGGAAAGTCATCCCTTAAGAAGTATTAGCTTAAAAATTATTCTTCTGCAAGGAGCATAATAGTAAACACGAAAAAAAAAAATCAAGCAATGCCTTTAAGGTTCTGTGCATACATAGCTTTCTGTAGAAAAATATATACTTGTCCAAGTTGTCATTCAAATGTGAGAATGAAATAGTCATTCCCAGCAAGGAAAGACTCAGCAAACTTTTTGCTACTTTTCTCATTTTACTTATTAGTAGTTGGCCTTATTTATTTATTTAACATTTTATCTTCATCAAAAAGGCAGATCCACAGAGAGGAGAAACAGAAAGAAAGATCTTCCATCCACTGGTGTACCTCCTCCACCCCCATGTGGCTGCAATAACCAGAACTGAGCCCATCTGAAGCTAGGATCCAGGAGCCCCCTCTGTGTCTCCCACACTGGTACATGATCCCAAGGCCTCGGGCCATCCTCTACTGCCCTTCCAGGCCACAGGAAGGGAACTGGATGAGAAGTAGAGCAGCAAGGACATGAACCTGTGCCCGTTTAGGACCCTGGCACATGTTTAAGGTTGATTTTGCCATTGAGCCATGACACCAGACCCTGATCATAAATTTCTAGTGTAACACTTTGATTTCCTTTTGTATATTTCCTGAGGAGTTAATCTACTTTAGCAGAACCAAAAAAAATTGCTTTATCTAGCCTACTCCAATACATCTGTAGTTTGCTATATTGACCTTCCAATCCTAAATTTCCATGGTGTTTAAAGCTTTTATCAAGCAGAGTCACAAACTAAAATGATCATCCGTTCAGCACAAGTAATGTAGGATAAGTTGTAAGTGGAATATTAAAAATATGTAGACTGGTTTGTTTTTAAAGATTTGTTTACTTTTATTTGGAAGGAAGAGTTACAGAGAGGAGAAACGGAGAGAGAGAGAGAGAGAAAGACCTTTCATTTGCTGGTTCATCCCCAGATGGCTGCAAGTATCAAAGCAGAGCTGATCCCAAGTCATGAGCCAGGGGCTCCTCCAGGTCTCCCACGTGGGTGCAGGCTCCCAAGGCTTTGGGCCGTCCTGAACTGCTTTCCCATACCACCAGTAGGGTCTGGATTGGAGGGAACGCAGCCAGGACACCACAACCCATATGAAATAGTGGCACCACGAGCTGAAGCTCAAAGTGCTACACTCAGTGCCAGTTCCTAGAACAGTATACGCAGATTTTCGAAGACTATAAAAATAGTGGTATTATTAAGGAGACCCAGAGGCATCAAGGACTGATGAGTGAATAAAGAAATTTTACAAGGCTCTAGGGAGTGAGCATGGAGAAGAATGCTATCTTCATTTTGCTAGTGAAGTTTCTTTTTTCAAAGGTTGATTTATCTGAAAAGTAGAATCAGAGAGGAAGAAGCAAAGGAAGAATGACAGAGAAAGAACTAGAGTTAGTCCTACGGGGAGAGAGGTAGGGAGGGAGAGAGAGAGAGAGAGAGAGAGAGAGAGAGAGAGAGAGAGAGAGAGAATCTGCCACCCCAGTTGGTTAAGTCTTAAAGGGCCATGTTGAAGCCAGGAGCCAAGAACTTCATCCAGGTTTCTTAACTGGGTGCAGGGGCCTAAGAACTTGCACTATCCTGTGCTTCATTCTTGGGCTACTAGCAGGGAGCTGGATTGGAAGTGGAGCAATCAGTACTTAAACTAGTGCCATCTGCGATGCTAGCCATGCAGACCATGGCTTAACTCCTCTACCACAGCACCAGCTGCTGAGTGTTGAGGAATGCCTGATAGTTTCTGGGTTTACGATTTAGGTTAGTGCCAATTGGCTGGAAGTGGTTCACTCATTCTGCTAGCGTGGGAAATTCATCTAGGAAAGTCTAGCTTCCAGGAATCTCTGCTTTCCCTGAGTATCTAATTTGTTGATGAGGGCGTCCAGTATCTGTGCTGCTTTTGTAAAGTGTTCAACTCAAGATTCTCTTTTCTAGTCAATTCTGGGCTCACAGCAGCAAGCTGAGGTTCCTCTGTTAGCACTCTGGTGCTTCCCACAACCAGGACTGGTTTCTACCCCCAGACCTGAAGAGTCAGGAGGAGATACTGACTCAGAGAGTATAATGGTGCCATCGCTTTCCAGAGAGCTCCAGTCAACTGAGGGCAACATAGTAACAAGGAAGCTGGAAGGATTACTAATTGGATTTTTCTTCCAAGTTTCAAGTGGCCAAAAAGATGCTCCTCCAGGGCATCCAACAGGTGCAGCACATAGAAGTCAGTTTCTGGGACTGACATCAAGGTGGAGAAGGACTGAGGGTATTTCTTGACGGTCAAGTGGAAAACACACATCAGAATGCAGCTATTAGGGCAAATTTCCAAGGATTCACTTTCCAAACTGCTGTTTCTCCCCTCAAGCTGCTATAGCTCGGTGCTTATTTTTAGGCAATACTGGAAAGACAGTGGGAATAATTTTAATTCCGCTTTTGTAAGCCTGTTTATTCCTAAAATGTCGTAGCTTGAAGTCCTAATGCTCAATATTCTTACACCGTTGGGGATAAGGCCTTAAAGCTGGTAGCTAAGGGTTCAGGTCACAAGGTCGGGGCCCTGATCAGTGCTGAACAGGACTGGTGTCCCTGTTAGGAGACCAATGCTGTGCGTTATCTGTTGTTCCCTAGAGGATATGCCAGGTGAAGGTGTAGTGGAGGTGAGAACGCAACTACCCCAGAACCTGGCTCCCTGGCTCTCAGTGTCCAGACGTGAAACCTTCTCTTACGTAAGCCACGCACATTCTATTTTGTCAAGCAACCTCGTTTATGATTTTTTTGAGCCTTGTATTTATTTATTTATTTATTTATTTTTACATACTCTTTAGCCTTTGGCGTGATGGTAATTCGCACAGACATGAAACAGAGAAGTTAGCGGCCTGCTCATGGTCATTACACAAAAGGTCAAGATGGACTGTGGTGGGATGCAATCTAGACCGTCAGCCGCTATGGTGATAAATGAAGGTCGTCCACCTGAAAGAAAACCCCTTAAAGTTCCTAAAGTTACTTCGTTAGCAGTTACACAGAGAGAAAAACGAAATTCCCTCTTGCTGTCTCGCCACACGTAACCTGATAATAGGACAGCGCGGAGGAACACAACGAATGCTGAGCTTCTGCCCGCGCCTGCGCGCGCGTTCGCTCCACCCGTGCGCCTGCGCCGCCCCGGACGCGCGCGCCACCCTCGGTCGAGAGGCGGGGAGCGCCGGGCCTGGCGCTTCAGGATTGGACGGCGAGGCGACCCAAACGGACGGCGCGGAAATGACGTGGCGGCGCGCAGGCGCCCGGGGCCCTGCCGCGCGGCGGCCGCCGGGTGCCGCCGCTCCCCGCCCCTCGCCGCTCCCTCCCCGGCCCGGCCCGCCCCCTCGGCCGCTCGGCTCCCTGGCGTGACTCGGCAGAGAGAGCCCCGGGCCCAGCCGCCGCCGCTCGCCAGGCCTCGCTCGCGTGCTCTCCGCCTTCAGCTTCGAAGCCGGTGGCGTCGCGGGCCGCCCTCCCGGGCTCTGTGACGATGGTGGGAGTGAAGCCGGTCGGGAGCGACCCCGATTTCCAGCCGGAGCTGAGCGGCGCGGGCTCCAGACTGGCGGTGGTCAAGTTCACCATGCGAGGGTGAGGCGGGCTCCTGGGGCCCCGGGCCGGCCGCGCTCTGTGCTTTGGCTCCGTCTTTCCTGGTCCCTTGGGCTCCCGGAAGGTCTGGGATGGTGCGGGCCGCAGCGTCGGGCCCCTGGCCGGTGTAGGCCTCAGCTCCCGGGCGACACCCCGCGTTTGTGCAACCGGGATCTCCAGGCGGGCTAAGGCGTCTTCCCCAGCTCGGGAGGTCCTCCTGGGCTCGTGGGGGCGGCCCGCGACCAGACCAGAGCCCCCTTGTTGGGGTCAGCCCCCTGCTTCTGGGGACCAGCTGGCAGTTGCATCTTAGGAATTCTGGCTCTCGTGACTATTGCATTTCTGTCTTTGCAAGAGTCAGGTGGGGTTTGTGCAACTCGGCCTGCGTGGTGCCAAGTCCTCAGGCCCACGGGTGACGTTTTGAATTACGTGAATGTTGGGTCCAGAAGCGTGCTCATTTCCTTAACGTTCTTGTTCCTTCTTGGTTAGTAACTTTGAGACTGACGCTCTGCTAGGGAGGCGATGGCAGCTCCTCTCCCAGGTGACAGTGCGGTGTGGCTGGTGCAGGTGCACAGGTGGCCTAGTTGGTTTCAGAGAACAGGAACTTTGCTAAACTCAGCGGAGTGTACAGGTTACAGAGCTGGTGGGCTTCCGGTCGTGCAGGTGTGATGTGGACGGCTCGGAACCTGAGGTGGAGAACCGGGGTCCCCTCCCCGCCCCCGGAGCGCTTTTACAGCTCTCTCCTCGGGTCTGTGCCAGATTTGCCAGGTGCAGAGGTCTGCTTTACCTTGACCTGGCATTGTTTACCGCTGTTTGTACTTGAGGTAGTCCACCTTGGGGGGTCAACACTGCTGTAACACTGCTGCTGTCACTGTAACCAGCAGGCCGTAGTTTCCATTTCAAAGCAAAAGAAAAAAAGTAACTCCTAGTGGTTGAAGCAACGTTGTATCCTTCCTGTCTGCTAGGATGGGATGGTGGCAGGAATGGCTGGGTGGAGGGAGGAGTGCTCAGGGAACCTGGAACGTTCTTCGCTCTTACGGCGAGGAAGAGCTAGGTGTGTGTACTGAGACGCCTACAGAGTGTGTCACGGCCATGAACTCATCTCTTCAGTGCCAGCCAACTGTTTTTTGCTTGGGGATGTGTGTGCTGCTGTGGAGTGTCACAGAGGTGGGGTCAACAAGGAACTTGAGTTCACTTCCACTGCTGGTCCTTGGTAGTTCTTATTCTTTTGTGCTTCAATAATATATTATTGTTTGGTCCCCTACCATAACGGAGGGAGAGGGCAGAGTGTGATGAACAATTTATGGGTCGAGAGTGGTGCCATTTTAACATAGTATAACTGCAGACATTGACTGATACAAAATTCTGTTAGTGTTTCAAACAGGATTTTCATGGAGTAAAAGGTTTTTTGTTTTGTTTTTGGTAGAAGCTGAGGGTAAATAAGCATTTGAATCTAGAGGACATTTATAATTGAAAAACAACCTTAGATTACACTTATAAGCCAGTAAGATTTTATTTGCCTTTAAAATTTTTTTTTATTTTGACAATTTTGACATAATTGATTAGGGTGCAAAGGGTCAAGGGCTACAGGAAAGTGGGTAAGACCATTGTTTCCACATATATTCTCTCTCTCTCTCTTTTTCCTGTATCTGGGGTGAGGGGGCAGATAAAGGGAGAAGCCTCACTGAGCCTCCCTCCCATCCCAGGTCCCCGACAGTGGGGCATGCTCCCAGGGCACTGCTCAAGTGTTTGTGATAGTTCAACAGTTCTGAATTGCTGCCAGTCTCGCCATTCTATTTGCCCTTAAAGCTCATTTATTTAAGTTGAGGTATTTGCCCTAATGCAGTTCTGCTTGAACTAGTTGTCAGCATGAACCCAGACTTACCAGTTAGGGGAGCTGCTGTTAGAGCCTTGAGCAACCCAATCAAAATCCTACAGGAAACCTTTCGGCCCTATTTTAGGCCAATGGCCTGGCTCTCTGACTGCTATTTTTTAATTTTCTTTTCAGCTCTGTAGTCAAGGCGTTTTCACTACCTTCCCCTTTCTTAGTTTATATAAGTTTGTGTTTGCTTTACAGCACTCGGACATGCGCAAACACACTGTCTCTGGTGGTTCGTGCTGAGGAACAGTCGCCGCTTCTTTCTCTTGGTGGTCGAGGCGGCCTGCTGGTCAGGAAACCCCCGGGAGTTTTAGCTTTTCTAAGCTTAAATTAATTTTATAAAAACAGTTTAATAATTGTTGTAATTTAATTCAAAGCTTGTTAGTGGCTCTCCAGAATTTTTTTCAGTTTCCTTGTTTGAGAAGCATAGTGACAGCTCCCATTTGCTGCTTCCTTTTCCAACTGCTTCGAGCAAGTGGGGCTTGGACAGCCAAAGGCAGGAGCCAGGAGTTTAATCCAGATCAAGGATGCAGCTTTCTGAGCAATCCCTGCCTCTTTCCCAGGGTGCACCTCGGCAGGAAGCCGGGATCAAGAACACTGACATTTGATGGAGGTGTACGTGTCCTAAGTGGTATCTGTCTGTTGTAGATGTTGAGATTTATTTATTAGGAAGGCAGATTTGCAAAGAGGAGAGACAGGAAGATCTTCCATCCTCCGGTTTACTCTTCAAATGGCTGCAGTGGCTGGAGCTGAAGCAATCCAAAGCCTGGAGCTTCTTCTGGGTCTCCCCTGCAGGTCCAGGGTCCCAAGGCTTTGGGCTGTTATCCTGTGCTTTCCCAGACCTGAAGTAGTGAGCTGAATTGGAAACAGCAGCTGGGACAGAAACAAGCACCCATGCTGATGCTGGTGCTTGCAGGTGCAGGATTAGCCAGTCGGTTCCTCATGAAAACTATATCCATTGAAACATCATTTCTCAGCCTCACTATAGAGAAGAAGCAACCCTCTCACCAGCCTGTATTTTACTTTGTTTTCTAGTGAATTTGCCTATTTTTGGCATTTCATGTTTCTCCTTTGTTTCTGGCTTATTTAACTTAGCATGTTTTCTTTGTATGGTTACATTAAATATTCACTGTATATGTATACAATATGCTTATCCATTCAACTATTGACATACACGTTGGTTGGGCTGACTTGCCTATTGTGCATAATCCTGTGGTACAGAATTCTGATTCTGCTCCTACTTCTTTTGGGCATATAACCAGGAGTGGAATTGCAAGATCATACTCAAAATTATGTTAAGCATTGTTTAGGAACTACTAAACTGATTTTCTACAGTGACTGCTTTTTTTATTCCCACCAGCAACATATGAAAATCTGAATTTCCCCAGCACAAATAAGTTTCCCTTGTTTGAATAATACGCATTTTAAAAAAAGATTTATTTATTGGAAAGTCAGACATTCAGAAAGGAGGAGAGACAGAGAGGAAGATCTTGGGCCCAGCACAGTGGCCTAGTGACTAAAGTCCTCGCTTTGAATGTGCTGGGATCCCATATGGGTGCTAGTTCTAATCTTGGCAGCCCTGCTTCCCATCCAGCTCCCTGCTTGTGGCCTGGGAAAGCAGTCAAGAAGGGCCCAAAGCCTTGGGACCCTGTACCCGTGTGGGATACCCGGAAGAAGTTCCTGGTTCCTGGCTCTGGATCAGCGTAGCACCAGCAGTCACTTGAGTCATCGGACGGAAGATCTTCCGCTCTGTCTCTTCTCTTTATATCTGATTTTGCAAAAAAAAAGAAAAGAAAAGAAAAGAAAAGAGGAAGATCTTCCTTCCTAACCTGTGTGGAGACCCAGAGGAGGCTCCTGGCTTTGAATAATACACATCTTAATGAATATGAAGTGGTATCTTAGTGTATTTTGATTTGTATTTGGAAAAGTGTATTTGATTTTCTAGTGAAAAACATGGATGTCTTTTAAATGTGCCCATTAGCCATTTGTATATTTTCCTGGGTGAAATGTCTGTTTATGTACTTTACTAATTTTTGAGTTGAGTTGTTTTCTGTGTTAAGTTGTAGAGGTTCTTTAGAGATTATGGATATTAGATGTTTGATTTCTGACTTGTCATTTCACCTTTTTCATGGTGGCCTTTAAATTGTGAAAGTTGATTTCCTTTGATGAAGTCTGGTTTACCTGTGCATGCCTCTTATTTGAGAAGGTAATATTGTTATCATTCAACACATTCGCGTATGTTGAATGTGGATGGTTGTGGTTTCATGTCCCAAGAAAATTATGAATTATACAAATAGTATTCTAATAATGTAAAAATTATAACAGACACAAAATGGCTTTACTGAATTACGGAATTAACAGGTACAATAATTTGGCAGCAGTCAGATAATGTTGATAAAAATAGTAGTTACAAACAGCATATTGGAGTCTTTAAGCAAACTTTTTTATGGAAAGTATATTTTTGTTGCAAAAAAGTAAACTTTTATTGCATAAATGTATAAAAAATGTGCCCAGATATGTTTAAAAATCTGATGATCATACTTTTTAAAAAACTATTTATTTTTATTGGAAAGTCAGATATACAGAGAGGAGGAGAGACAGAGGATCTTCAGTCCAATGATTTACTTCCCGAGCGGCCTCAGTGGGCAGAGCTGAGCCAATTTGAAGCCAGGAGTCAGGAGCTTCTTGTGGGTCTCCCGTGAAGGTGCAGGGTCCCTAGGCCCTGGGCCGTCCCTGTCTGCTTTCCCAGGCCTCAGGGAGCTGGATGGGAAGCAGGGCCGCCGGAACTAGGACCAGTGCCCATATGCGATCCTGCTGCGTGCAAGGCGAGGACTTCAGCCGGCAGGCCACCGCACCGGGCCCTGATGATCATATACTACTTTAACCAACATCTAGATAGAGAAATGAATCAGTACAGGAAGATCCCCTAGCTTCCACATTCCTCCCCATAACTCTTTAATTGTGATTAGTTTTGCCTGATTTGAACTTTATGATAGTAGAGTTTTACAAAATTATAGTCTGTCTGGCTTCCTTTTATGAGTATGCTAATTCTAATAGATAATTCAGAAATAACAATAATGAAACTCACTAAGTAATTAGAAGTTTGGGAATAGCAGTTAAGAGATGG